TATTTAATGGATGCTAAGCAAGGTAACATACCTCTTGAAGCCATGGAAAACAGTAAATCCTGACCACCAAGGCAAGTGTCCAGGTGAAGATTTTGACACCAGACTATCCAGATATTTCAGGGCCTACCATACTTGGTGGCAATTTAACTTTGAAATAAAAACCACTATGAAAATATGTAGAACTATGTTATTTTTGGCCAAAGGCCTTTGCAAGATTTTCAACAAAAGGTTTGTACAATGTGATCATTCAAATGAGTTTTAAAGATTAAGGCAGAACAAGTTATAGTATTTTAGAATTAATTTCATAATATTACTCATTAGGTCAATATATCACTATGTCATTTTAACTACGGAGTCTAAGATAGCTTTAGTTCAGATGATATAAGCAGCCAGTATAAGCAGAAAGACTTTCAGAGTTAGGTACAAATTTATGTTGAGCAAGTGCACCTTTCTTGGTTGTATTCTGCAGTGCATGTCAGGTAAATTTACCTTCAAGGAACTTCTGGCAGGATTTCAGAAGGATGGTTTGAATGACAAATTTTCTAACTGGAAAAGAGCAGTTAGATTAGGTTGTCATTAACAGTAATTTATGATTAATGAGAAAGGTCCTAAATTATAGGTAGACATTTATGCCATAAAAAGGTTATTGCATTGCTTGTGATTATTTCTGGCAATTTTAATAAAAACATGTAATTTCATAATCTGTGTCAGGAAAATTCACGGCTAAAATTCAAATAAGTGGGTGTCTTTTTGTCCATGCCTTGAATCCACTTGAGACTACGGATAAAATGGACTCTCTATAAAACACAAGAACATAAAGAAACAAAATAGTTTGCACACTGAAACAAAACGAGTAAGGAAACATAACAGCTCACCCTTCAGGGATTTCTCTACTTCTCTACAAATTCTCTCAAAATCAGGAAACGTGGGTCCTGGACATGGCTCTTCTGACCAACTGCATGACCTTGCTAAGTTGTAACTTATCTGGACCTCGATTTTTCTCTCTGTAAAAAGAAATCTCTCAGGTTTTTTACATCCTTTAAATGGCTATGTAGGAGTTTCTTCCTGTTTCTTCAATGTCTTAGTATACTAATTGTCAGTTACTGTATTTTTAAATTCACTCATTTTTTTAAGGTTTTCATTTCCACCCTGGTTTCTCACCTTCTAAATGGTTTTGTTGCCTGTCTATGCACTATAAATTTACACATCAAGGTTCTGTTTGTTTATTTTGAAGAAGGAATTAAAGGGCCCACTCAGCTATTTCCAAATGTTGACTTTCTAATGGAGATATAATTTAGAAAACAGCTATTTTCATCTTTATTCTATTCCATACGTTAACATTCGTTAACATTCCATGTGTTAAGATAGCCACATTCCCATGCATATAAGAGGTGATAGGCTCTTACCTTCATTAGGATAGCAGTGGTAGTTTTTTAGAAGCCAAGAGAGGTAACAAGGTATGTGTGAGCTATATTATGTTTGTTATTATATTGTTGGTGGCAAGGATCTAACCACAGCCATATTATGCATGTTTATTGCTTTTACCTAAGTTTTACGTATTTTGCAAGGTCTCTCTCTTCCAATTACATTGTGTTCAACCAACAACTTCAATTAAGGTGTTCTACAAATAGGAGGCTCTTGGTAAGTGTGGCTAGAGCACCCCGCCAGTTTCCTACCTGAAGAAATCCCATCTGATCACCAAACATTAGAACTGACAGGGAAATGAGAGCTCACCGCTCAACCCCTTCCCTTCTCACAGGTCAGCCGGTGGGTGTGACCCTAAACACAGACAAAACTGCATTCTTTGTGAATTTTGCCTTTTCCTCGTGTTCTCCCAGGATATCATATTCACAGGGTTATGCACCTGGAACCGTGTCTATTTGTATAAGGGAAACATCTCTCCTACTTATTAGTGACCCTAAATATTGTTAACACGACTCCCCCTTCTCCCTTAAGCAAAGAAGTAGAGACTTTATGATATGCCTAAAGGCATCTCTGTTAAAGCAAAAGAACCACCTTCAATAGAAAATTAAGAATCCCTGCAACCTTCACAGTCAAACTTGAAACCACCCAGCCCCCTCTGATTAATGTGAGATTTAGTTAATATCATTGTATTTAGCAAGAGAAGAAATCTACTTTTCCTA